TCATCACCGTCTTGGCCTTGACCGATACGATATCGTGATGAAACGATACCGAGATACTCAACTCGCCGAGACGTCACCGTAAAGGGTCGAAATGACCGAGTCACACCGAATCACTTCGACTCATCCTGAATCAGCTCGAATTTTTATTATTTTTACTAATTTTTTAAATTATTTTTGTTTATCATATTTTTTATAATTTTTAAAATATTAAATATTTCAAAAATTCACGTCTTGCACCACGACTTTGAACCATGTTGGAAGTGTGATCATTTTCGGTGTTATTTGTGCTACAGAAGCTACAAGACCTTATTGAAGTGTTTGGTTGATTACGATCTAGCTCTTAGAGGAAATCTTGGTGGGATTGAACTTCTTATATTTTCATCTCACCTGCTTCCAAATAGCTCCCAGTGTATGAAGTGAACCTTTATTGGTTTATTTTGTTTCAGGAGATTGGATATAACACATTCACTGAACCGTCATTGCTTTGTTTTTATATCTTGAGATTGGCTTTGACACGTCCACATCCATACGCACAGCTCATTTTGTTGCATACAGGTGTTGGTCCCCTTTTCCTTACTGAGTTGTGTTATTCTTTTGCCAGATTGGAACGGGTTGTTGTTTTTATGGGGTGTCTTTAAAGAGAGTGCAAGAAATTAACCCACAAGAAAACTAACAAAACAAATCTCACACAATCAAAAGAAACTTGGCAGCGGAATATAGAAAAACAAACAAGCAACGCGCGGTGAAAGAAATGCAGGCAGGCAAAAGCTTCGGGAGACAAACTTCTCAATTCTTATTTCTTAATTCTCGGCACAACCCAATGCATCAGTGCTACTAGTATTTATAGAATACCAATTCCTTATTTCAAAACCGAACTGACAATGGAAATCAAACAAGACTTGGACCAGACAAGCTTCCAACCGACTAAACACAAAGACTATTACCAAACCAATTAGGAAACTACTAAAAGAATAACTTGGTTTAACTTCCCACAGAGAGGAAGGTAAATGGCTCGTTATACACACCATTTACAGCTAAAGAGGAGAATGCAATACACTTAGTTGACACCCAGACCTCTCAGCTAAATTTGTAACGTCTTACAGCATATATGTTCCCAACTTCCCATCTGAGATCTTGTGTATAGTTGTCTTCAGGTAAGACCCTTAAATTAATTTGACAGATAATGGATTCTATTGATTCACAGTTCTCTCCAGTGGATAGGAACTTCTTAAGGCCAAACTATAGTTGCCTAGTCTGAATTGGACTTTTGATCTGTGTTTTTAAACTCGGACTAGACCGGTCGGTCTGACCGGTCGAATCGAGAACTGATCAAGTGTCCTGTCCAAGTTATTTAAAAGACTGGATGAGTAAAAATTCGATCAAATCGGGTCAAAGCCTTTTTTAAAAAAACCCAGTTCAAAGACTGGTTTGGCGGAAAAAAATCAGAAGAACCGGTTCAATCAAAGTCTTTTTTAGAAAAGGTCAAACATTTTCAATATTATGTTTTGACCCCTAAGTTATTAAAAATTATTAATATATCTCAAATATTTCATATTTTATAAATGTTGTCCTAAAATTTGATGTTATTTTTCAATCAAGTCCATAATTTTAATTCTAAATTTTTTAATGTTCATTAAATAATATAAATTGCTACTTGATCGTTCTAATTTCTTTGTATTTTCTTGTTAAACATATTTGAAACATCAAATATATATATATATGAATATACCTTATTAATATTAACATACTCTTAGGTATTTTACGTACAATATTTTAATTTTTAAATAATTTTTATTTATGACGTCATCCGGTTCAACCCCGATCGAATCCATTGACTCCTGATTTCGACCGAATCGATACCAGTCCGAGTCTGAAAACATGGCCTTTCATTGGAAAATGGAGATGAAATCATATTATGGTCAATGAATCCAACATATGCTGGGATATTTGGTCACGCATTCATCTCTCTGGTAACATTTGTTCTTCTTGTATTATGCATTTGGTCTCTACAAAACTTACATACTTCACTGATTTTTTAAAATTTCCCTGTGTAAGAGTGTGAGTGTGTGCGTGTCTGCATGAATATTTGTAGTGGCACTTTATGTGTGGTTGTAGTCATACATGAGTCTCGTTCCAATATTCATGTTAACCTTGTCGATGTCATTATAAAGCTATCAAGCTGTGATCTTCACAAGTACTAGCGTACCATCATCATGGATGGTTGCATATGGAAGAGGGGTAGGAACGGTTCCTGATAGTTCACGGTCAAGATTTGGCCAAAAAAATTGTACGATCCAAATTTCATTTTGTATCTCAATTTTAACAACATGTATGATACCTACAAAATTGTGTCTTAAAGTTACATGTTGTTGAAAATAAGTTACATCATGTACAAACAAAATTATGCCGTGTGCAAAATGCACATAACTGTCAGGAACGGTTGCAGGTCCGGTTGTATGTACAAGAGCGTGGCCATCAAGAGTTTTTTTTTTTTTTTTTGTCAATACGTCAAAGTTGCACACAAGTTAGATTAAAGTTAGCTAAAACACTCCGAGGGTTGAACTTAATTAAGGAGAGCCCACAAGAAACACCCATCTAGCCAATTGGTTCGTGGCCATCAAGAGTTGAGTGGCTACAGATACCAATAATTGTTGTGAGGCTGTAAATCATCTGCTATTGGTTGACACTTGAAATGCGATTACACATACAAAGGCTAATGAGTAGTAACAGAAAATGTCAACTTAGTCTCTTTTCCTTTTTCTTTTCTGGATCAGTTGGAATTTTTATTTATTTGGATCAGCAGGAGGCCAAAGTCAAACGTACATACTCCTACTATGGTTACAAATGTTAAATCTTCACCTGAACATACGTACTAGGTTTAATCATATGTACTAGGTTTATTTGTAAATTGAGACTATGCTTTGCTAGAATATTGGCACATGAATTGCTTTGGTGTCAAAAGTGACTTATTATTCATTCTCAAATAGAATAATTAATATCTTTCTGAGAGTGACATTTTCTAAAGTGAATTCATGGAAACACCTCACTATGAATTTCAATCAAAGCGTTTACTCAAAAAAGAGAAAAAAGAATTTCAATCAAATTGAGATAGTTCGAGCCAATCTGGAAAATGGATCATTTTAAGCCAACTTAAACTCTTTAGAATATAATAAATAGTATACTCTACTCACTCTTGAAGTTTTTAGCCCATCCAGAAAATGGATCTCAAGTACACTAACATACTTCTGTGGGAACATATAATCTCTAAAGGCGGCACTATTTTCAGATTTATCTTTTTGTTACAAAAATTATAGATTGAAAAAAAAAAAATCTAACCACCGGAAAGTACAGTGTCATCGTGGAAGAAGAATTAACACTTGCACCCCTGCAAACATAGCCTCGCTAGGGTTGTTCACCTGCCATCTTGTCTTATCAATCTCCCAAAGAATTTTCTTGAATACATGTTAGATTAAATCGATTTCGTTAAGAACTAAAGCAGCTTTCCCAATATTATGGGAATGTTCAACTAAAATTGTTTGAGAATTTGAGAATTTTGTCTAAGCAAAGGCATCATTGGCAATTAAAGCTCCCCATGAAAATGTGGATGATTTCTTAACATTTTGAACGTTTTATTTTTTTTTCTTTTTTCTTAGATCTCCAAATTAGTAAAACGTTGTTTTTTGAAGCTTAAATATTTAACGCTCGGCTCATGTGAATTGTCTACAAAGAATTTCATATTATGTCCCAAAAAACTGACATTAAGTGCCCCTTTGGTATAGTGTTAGTCAGACGTACGGTTGCTTTGATAACCGAGAGTTTAATAAAAAAAAATATAGTTTAAATCATATTTAAAAAGCGTGGGTGTGTGAGCAGATTTTGTTATGTGCGAATTTTTTTATGTTAGCCACAATAGAAGCTAATTTGAACTTCTTCAAATTCTCTATCTCGAAATTATCTTTTGTCCCGTCCGTATTTATATAGCTGTCATGTGTATTGATGCTTTGATAATTTAAGCAAATTGATAACAAATTCGGTCAACAAATCAAAGGTAACCTGAATTATCGATACATCAATATACGTGACAGCTATATAAATACAAGACAGAAAATTAATTTTAGGACGAAGGATTTGAAGTGAATTTGAACGGGTTACCAAATAACAAAGGATAGATTCTTAATTCCAAGCAAGCCATCAAGAGTATGTTTTTTAAGAGCACCATAATCCTAGTATTTAGGTAATTGAACTGCTTCAACACTTATAACGGAGAATCTGCTAGTCAATAACAAAAAATATACACCTGTGACAATCTAGGCAAAATTCTAGCTACATATCTTTGGAAAAAGTCTAGTTTGCGTGTTTCTATAGCTCTTAGCAAGTGTAAAAAGCTTAAAAAAAACCTTAACCAACCTCTTTTTTGGAACTAATTAACTGACAAGAAATGGGTAACGATGAAGAAGAATATCAAGAACAAACTGAAGTGTCCAGACCTCTTCTTTCAAGGCTGAATCGCCTGGATTCTCTTGTGGGTTACTATCAGTTTGGTTTTTGCTCCACAAATAATTATGACAATAACTCTTAAAGGGGAACTATTTGTGTGTATAAGCTTTTCATTCATTCTTTGCTGTTTTGTAAGCCAGATGAAACGTTTAGGTGGAAGAAAGAATTTGTGGGCCAATAAGAGCAGCACCAAAGATGATACTAACACTTCAGCAGACAGATTAGATGGAAGATGCTTTATGCCCCTAAATGTGGCAATCCAGGAGCCTTGTTCCAAAGGCTCATTGTTGGATCGAATTGCATCTCTTGAAGATCGTCTTGTCCAGGTCAGACATTATTGTTGCCTTCAATTCCATTCTTTCCGTTCACGTAAAAGCTTCTTTTGTCGTTTACTGCATGCGAATTACCTAGTGGAAGTATACATCGTTGTCTTGCTAATGATGCCTAGTTACGTCCGCTGATCATATACATATGTTCGTGCGTTGCATCCAGACCATGTCCCAGATTAGGACTGTTAGTGGTTACCTTTTGGAAATCCCACTAAGAATTTGTGCGTTTCTTCATCTGCTTACTGATTGATGTTGAGGGCACGAAATAATCTGCTTTTCTCAAGATTTAGCAATATCTTGGAACAATTGTCAGTGGATATATGAGACTTTTGACAGATAAATTCTCTTAATATGGAATTTACCTTAATCTGTTTGAAGTACATGTGATTGCCAACATTATTTGGTGTAGATGTAATACGTATGATGATTTTCGTTCCAATGGAGGATTATGGCCTACATTTATACTGATCAAACAATAATATTGATTTACATCAGCTCTGCTTGGAAATTGAATGCTACAGAAAGTCGTGCAGTTCAAGCGTTTATACATCTTCGGGAGCATCATCTTCAAGCAATAGCGGATCCAAAACAGAAAGGACTTCTTCATATCCAACTTTCAGCAGCAAACAGAACCCTCAATGCAAAAAGCAGACTCAAGTTCCTAGCAGTACTATACCTCATGAATTCGAGGTACGATACTTCCACTTTCTGCATACAAACAAAGACGCCCAGTGTAGTGTGTTAAATGATATAATCAACTTTTGGAGATGATCATTTCTGATAGATGGTTTAAAGTGCTTTTGACAGGTTAAGAACTACCAAATATAATCCTACTTTGCACCCTTGAAAGGTTTTAAGAGTCCAAGCTCTTTGTGGCATAAGCTTTTATAGGTGACTATTTAGTACCAAAAGCTTTTACCTCTTTATCAAAATCCATAGTCGAATGGTAAGGATTAAATGCTAACTGTGCAGTTGACAAAACCGTGATCTTAGATGATGGTTTAAAACGATTATATTTCAAAACCGTCTCAGTAATATTCAAGAACTGATGTTTAATCACCAAATCCCAGTTCAAACTTGTTGGTTTTTTGGGGCATGAACTAAGAAACAACACCTTAGTGTTGCAAAAAAAGCTTATAAGAGACTTCTATTGAAGGTGGAAAATGAACTTATGTTCTACATTCATCAACTCACTATTTATAGTGATTACATGAAACAAACTAGCAAAATATCCAACTAACAATTATCCTAAAAAATCTCAACAAAATATAATCTTCTACTACTAGCAAATCTTATCTAAAATATTTGTTAACAAACCAACATGATCTTTGGTTAACAAATATCCTTATTTTCTAATAACTAAATTATTTTGATATCAAATATAATCTAGCAAAATATGTAGGAAAAGTTGCATATCCTAACACTCCTCCTTGCCACTTTTGCTGCAGATTTTGAATTGTCTTCTCAAATCTTTGAATCTTGTTTTGGACGAGACTTTTGTAAGAAATTCTGCAATTGATGATTAGCCTTGCAATGAACTTCTTCCTTTGGATTTTTATGCAAGCTAAATATTAGTCTTGCAACAAACCACTTCTTTTGTCTTCTCATGCCAAACTCCACATAAAAGATGATTTTTTTTAATGTTTCCAAATAACCTTCTCATAGGTTTAAAGTGGAACATTCTTTGACAATATTTGAACCTATACAGAAAATATGAAATTCTGCATGGTTCTTCATTTTGTCATGACCATCAAAATCTGTAGACTCAAAAACAGAAATGTTATAATCTTGATAAATATCAGGAAACAATTTGATACTTCCTGACTTATCAATGATCTCCTCCTGAATTTTTTCAGGATCTGAATTCTTGATTTCATCATCATGTTCCACTTTAGAATTGTCAAAATCCGACCAATTCATAGTGAAACTTCTCCTTTTTATTTTAATTGAGAATAATTTATTCTCAATCAAATCATTAGCCATTATCTTTGTGAAAACGGCATCAAAAACTGATATGTGAGTGCTGGCCTTGGATCTCTGTCTAACTGCAACTCTGTGGTCTCTAATTTGTGTATCCATCAGCTCTTCAAATACTGATGAAACAAAATTCGTCTCCACCATATCCCGTAGATCATTGACTACCAAATAAGTCCAAAATTTTATGGCCCAAATTTGGTAAGTTTCACCACTAAAAGTTGAAATATTTGACAAAAAGTTCTTTCCTGTCATGGCTTTGAACTTATAAAGGATCCTCACCAATGCATCACTCTCAAAACAAAAAAAGACTCAGGCCCTTAAGATATAGGCTCTTGATACCACTTTGTTGGTTTTTTGGGGCATGAACTAAGAAACAACACCTTAGTGTTGCAAAAAAAGCTTATAAGAGACTTCTATTGAAGGTGGAAAATGAGCTTATGTTCTACATTCATCAACTCACTATTTATAGTGATTACATGAAACAAACTAGCAAAATATCCAACTAACAATTATCCTAAAAATCTCAACAAAATATAATCTTCTACTACTAGCAAATCTTATCTAAAATATTTGTTAACAAACCAACATGATCTTTGGTTAACAAATATCCTTATTTTCTAATAACTAAATTATTTTGATATCAAATATAATCTAGCAAAATATGTAGGAAAAGTTGCATATCCTAACAAAACTTAACATTAACTAAATATTACTCGGGCCAAAATGATCAAAAATGAAATTTAAGTAATGAATTTAAAGGGTGCAAACTGTCATATTCCTGTTAACGTAATTATCTAGACTTTGTTATTTATCCTAAGAAGGAGACACCATGCAGTCTCACAATCTAATTGTGCGCAACTAGATTAAGGATCTGTTACGTTTCCCTGTTGCATATACCATCGTTAAGACATGATTTTCAATCAGAGATATATTGCTTCACCTGGAAATGTGGACAAAAACCATAGAGAACAATGCCTTTAAGAATTTGAAAAGTGAAAGAGTTAGAGATGGTTCAAGCAAGGATGAGAATGCGTCCACGCTACTATACTTTCGCCTTTGCACTATCTGTTTCCCTTTGAATTTCTGTTGCCAAGAGATATGCTGTAGAGGTTTAAATGAAAGAAAAAGGAGGTTTAGATATATTTTTCCAAAAAAAAAAACGAAAATGATGCGTTAGCATTCTTCCATTAAAAAATAGTCTGCATAAAATACACTAATGAAAGTAAATGCATTTTAACAATTTCCATGTTCTATAGTTCATTTCTGACAATTACTAACTCCTTCCAGCCGCAAAACTTAAAGGTTTCCAGTTCAATCAAGCAGCACCCAAAACCCCAAGGAAGCAGCAGGGACAAGAAAACGGGCCGGAAAGGGAAGAAGAAGAACTTGGCTCCTAGTTGGCCACACCTGAAAATTTTGGGGTGCTAATTCTCGATAGAACCAAATGCAGGCTTGACGGAGGAAATAAGACTCATGAATAAAGGAAACATTCAAAAGCATTTTGTCTTTTTATCTTGATATAGTATTTTGTCAATCAGTTTTAGTACTATGTAAGATTTTAATGTTTTTTACTTAGGAATTAGGTTATTCCCTGTTGTTTGGAATCCTTTGATATTTATGTTTCTTGTTCACTTAAAATTTAGGTCTAGGTTTATAATATTTATAACCCATTGTAACTCTCTACTCACTTTATAGTTAAATTAATGAGTTGACGGGTTTTTCACCTCTCAACTCCTCGCTCAAGATAACAAAACACATCGCAAAAAGTCATAACAATAATAATTATAATACTTGATCTGAAGCTTATATTTACATCACGCTCGTGTTCTAACGATCAGTCTTGTTACTCCACCATAAATCAAAACTGAAAATCTTGGGTTATTATTCCTCTTGAAGTCTATGTAAAGTAGCGAATGCAGACTACTTTCTATTTTTCTTCTCCATATCCATTGTATCTCAAGCTAGATGATTATAATAGTCTATTCTTCTCTTCTCCTCCACCATTGAGAGCAGTGCTTAGATAATGTTTCTTATCTTTTGCTTCACGCTTGGTTGGTGACTCCCTCAAATTGCTTTCACGACACACATGCAGAAATTAAGATACACATTCCATGTCCTAAAGTCAAATTACAAAATCATTAAACATCAAGAAAACTAGCTTCAAAATCCCATGTCTTAAGGACATCATTTAGAACCCATACCACCATGCTGCTAGTTGACATTTTTAAATTTTCTCAAAAAAAAAAAATTTTTTGATTAGAGAAAGTAGAATAAGCAATGACAAAGTTGATCTGAATCACAGTGTAGGGTATACTACCATTGTAGTATATTCCAGAAATCACATCTCTACTCTATCAATGTGGCTCTATAATGCAGGTTTGGGTGTTTGAACCCTTACATTTCCCCTTCCCGTCACCAAAAATTAGGTCTAATTTAATCACTTTGAATTTCTGCCAAACTTTATATGCAAGTTTTTTTAATATAGAATTATTTTGTTATTAGACTCAACCACAACAAATAACACAGGAAATCAAACAAAAGAAAGAAAATCAGCATCCCCCCCATTAAATTAAAGCATGACCCCCAACATTTTGCATCGGCCAACATTCTCTCTTAATATCAGTCAGTAAGTCAAAGAAAAAGGTATGGACAAGAATTGATCCCCCAAAAAAGTGCAAATCCCATATCTAGCAGTGAGAGAATATACATGCATCGTAGGCCTAGCTGCAACTTTGCATGTACGTTTCTGCGATTTCCTATTAGGCCTTCGAATTTGGAAAGATAAACAAGCAACAATTGAGTAGTTCAAAGAGTGATGCAACTTAATCAGTTATATTTAATAGGTAGAGATTGGTTTGCAGAGCTGGAAAAACGTGGAATGATGTGGATGCTTATTCTTTTTCTAAGGAGGGAACCACGCAAGCTCCAGCTTCTCTATATCAAATTTTCTGCTATGTATGTACTTATTCAATGCAGTCCTTTCTGTCAAGTAGAATAGTCGTATATGTCTTTTCCAAGCACATATTGATACGTATGAGATTGGAGGTATTGAAGTAGCTTTACTTGACTGGCGACCTATTGCAATTGGCAAAAGAGAGATACTGACTGAAAGAGATTTGAATAATATGGAAAGAAGAATTTAATTTACGTAGTAGACTTGGAATTTTCCAAGGGAAGAAAATGGTTTAGAAGCACAACAATCAACTGTCAAAGACATGTTATCTCTTTGTCAAGACAAGTTTAACTGTTGAACAATTAAGAGATCATGTGCATGTTTTGCCATATCCCTATTTACATCACCCCCCCCCCCTCTTCCTTTTTTTTGTGTTTTGTAATCTCTCAAAGTGTCATCTTACCCTAGGTAGGCTTCATTTATTCTGTTGATAAAACATTGAAATGCTGGATACGATTCATGTTAGGAATTTTATCAAAGGGTAGCAATTGCATGAGTTTCACTCGTATACCTCCATCCGTTATTGACATTTTTAACTTCCCCACTAGTCCCCACTTTACTAAGGATGAAATTTGAGACTTGAGCAGTATCTATTAGCACCTTCTCTCGAGTAGATAATCAGAGTTGATAAAATTTAGGGGCAAAGCAGATGTTTTTTTAAACCAAGAAAAAGAAGTTTAATCTAATCCATCCTTGATTAGTTAGTCAGCAACCAAATTGCCAATCCTAATTGCAATTTCAGTGTGTCCGTTCTTACACATAATGGCTAATTTTAGTGTTTTATCAACTTTACTTGCATAGTATACACGGCCATACAAACCATATTTGCCACAACTCTAGCCGTTGGTTTGAGCGATGAGGAAGATCCAATCACTTCCGAAGTGCTGACAAGAGATCGAGAAAGGACAGATGCACATTTACCGCATAAATATGTTGGTTAAAAACATTTTAAAGTCCGCACCGCATTGAGTCATTTATATGTCTATTCTCTTGTCTTTTTCTTATATGCTCCATGGGAAAAGATGGCAAAAGCTTGCAAAAGCATCAGCAAAGAAGGGCTTATTATTCGTAATCAGTAAAAGAATCTAGCTCGCCTGCTTTGTCGACAGCTTTTTTATTTGGCTCTCTGTTGCAAAAGTGATGTCTTTTTGCTAATAAGGGAGCAATTTATGGCTTGTGTTTGCCATTTCCACTTGTATATAAATGAATGAAGATGGCAAAAGTGCAAAACTTGACTCAGTTACTCCACCGGCATATAAAGGAACTAATACTAATTCAAATCACGATAAAGGGATAATTCTTCCCCCAACTATTACAGATTCTTTACTTTTTCTTGCTTTTTTCAAGGGGTTCATGGTTTCGTTAGATTCTTGTTCCATGTTCTTTTATCTTGTGTTTCCTATGTGGAACTCTGATGTTGGATCCAAGGACAAATTCATGGAGTTTAGGTGGAGATTATAACTAATAAACCTTTAATGTTTTTTAGGAAATATACCCTTGATATTTGTGATCCTTTTTTTTTTTGGGGGGGCGCAGTAAATGACTTTGGTATGCCTGTATCTAGGGTGGATAACGGGCTGTTTAGTCGATACTTTTCAACCAAACAAGAACAAATAAGCTATGAGATGTTCATCAAACTCCAATCAATATTTCATGTTGTATGCTACAATCTTACTTAAGCTGAACAATAGAGTCTCAATCAAACTTAATTAATTTTATATTCAGTTACTTAAGCTGAAGATGGAGTATAAATCAAGCTTAATTAATTTTGTATCCAGTTATCAAGTGAAATATGAAAGTGATTGATTTGGAAGCAACCGAACATTTGTTTTTCCATATTGTTTGATATGAAAGTGAAATGTATTAACTCTGATGTGATGATATGTGTTACAGAGTTTAATTTCTCACAAAAGATTGTTGTGTTATCTGTCTTCTTTTTCAACCATTAGTTCCCATGAAAAATATTAGTAAAAATTAACCAAATTGTTGTTCAAGAAAGCCCACCGTTATGTCCATTTCCAGGCAAAAGTGTGCGACCTTGTAAGTTGAATATCTAGTGTAGTGAAGAATTATTGGTGATACTCAGAAATTAGAATTTGATTTGCATGCTGAACATGAAAAGACAAAAACATTCTTTTATATCGAAAAAATTGCGCTTGGATCATTCAATTTTGCCACTTATTTCGTTCTTATCTCAAGGGTTTCGTTCAAAATGTCACTTTCAGCCACAAAATGGTAAAATTACTTGCTTTGTTTGGAAAGTAATTTTTCAAAGAAAAATTGGTACGTTTTTCGTGAACATATTTTACAATCACCTTTTTATCTCACATATATCAAATTGTTACAGTAATTTTTTTACAAAAAATCTAGAAAACTGCTTTCTCTCACATGTCTTAGACTTCAAACCCGCTTAACTCCAAAAGTTCATAGTTGTTAACTTGTTTTCCATCTTATTCAATCTAAACAAAAGATCAAAAGGATGAGGAAAAGCTAATCTTGATAGATTCAAGACATAATTTAATAAACCTCTAAAAAAAATCATAAACTTCTCTTTCTGACATTTCCTTTTGGTTTCCTTGCAGGTTTTGATATTACATCTACCTCTCTTATTTCAGTTTTGATATAACAATACCAACCCCATAACTCACATGAAATACTAAAAGACAACAAATTACCCTTCCATTTTTTTCAACAACGGAAAGAAACACACACACCCACTCAATTAGAACAAACATAGGAGTTAACCGAAAGAGCGACTCGAAAGCAATTTAAGGGAGACCCACCAACAAATTACCCTTCCATGGCATATAGAAAATTGATATAACAAATTGAACTGCAAAAATAACTTGAAAATGTGTCAAATAAATGACAATTTACCTCGTCACCTTTTTATGATTAATTTTTTAAGATCAACTTTTTCTCTTGTTTATTGCATTTTTCAAGTTCTTTTATGAGTTCAATTGAATTTATGAGTATATGCAAGGATAATTTCAAAAGACAATACTTTATAGCATAGCTTTTATGGGAATTTTTTTGGATAAATTGGCAGATTTTGTTTCATTTGAAACTCAAATTAAGGAAAGTAAGTGTAATATCAACAAAATTGTCCAAAACTTCAACGAAGATTTCTGAAATTATCCCTAGATTTGTAAGACTATTATACCAAGAGAATTTGTTTGAAAACTAAAGTATTCCATGGAATTTCCCCTGAAAGTGTGCACTTATACTATACAAATATCCCCAAACTCTTATTGTTTCTCTATTTTTTCCTATCTCCTTTTTTCCTTATTTTCTATATCATTTTTCCTCACATCTTTTTGTTTTCTTGTATTTTCTTTTTTTATTCACTAAATTAGAATTTCAAATAGGGCAAGATTTATGACATATCAATAGCTTAGCTTAAACAGTTTTTCCATTTGTTTTCAACACAATTAGCATATAAGATTTTTACACAAGTCTTGATATATCATTTTCATTCACAAAAAAAAAAATTTGTATATGTGTTATGAATCCAAACCTTTTTTGCACATAATCTTTTACACTATCATAATTTAGTGTTAAATAAAGTTAATAGAAATTTCACGTATAAAAAAAAAAGATGATAAGAATGTAGGCTATGAAAATGTTGCTATGATGAAATTATAATAGATTATAATTTTCTATATACTAACAGTGTATACTCTTTTATTATTAGATGTATGATATATAATTTGAAATCTAAATTTTTAGAAACGTCAATGCATCTAATTGTAAGAGTTTATACTCTGTCATTTGTTCATTTCTGAAGCATGTACCATTGA